TTAATTCATGATAACTGTCTTAGGAAGTCTTCGCTGTAGTAGCAAGGATGTCTATAGCCGCAGTCGTGAATTAGGCTATAAAAGAATGCCAGCAAAAGCGTTCATAAGGCTCCAACGAAACTATATTAGCTACTAGCGGATCGTAGCCAGATAGAATAATTATAGCATATACGGAATCATCAGAGTACGCAGGCTCCGATGGCCCTGTCCTGCCAGCCAATATGACCCTATATAAAATGATTAATAGTAATTAAGGCGCCATTTGGTGATAAGAGGTATCGGCGTAAGTAGACGCAGAAATGATAGGGCTTGATCCAAGCCTGTCTCAAGAAAATGTGCTTAATATATTCCAGTAACACATTCTTGGAAAAACTGTAAAAATAAGACATAATTATAAATAAAAAAATAAAATGAGACTGAGGCAAAGTAAATCGATGTTAGGTAAGATTTTGCATATTGTTAGTACTACGCTATGACATGTAAAAATGATATAGCTTTGCAATTTTTCACGATACTCTCAAATTAACATGGCTGGTGCCATGATTGAAAATATTTGTTAAAATCTAGTAATTAAAAAGGTTGAAAATGACTCCTCTATGATATCTTAAACCAGAAAAAATAAATAAATAATGACTCCAGCAGACGAGATTTAACTATACTGTAGAAGACTCGAGAGTAGGCATAACCACGGACAATTTCGGAGGTATATAAGACAGTCTTGTAACTTTTTTAAACCAATATAAGATCTGATGATCAATGAAGAGCAGATCTCATATAAGCATGGAATCAAAATAAGAGGGAATAATGAGAAGATTGCTCGATAAAGGCATAATCTAAGTGACTGACCTTTAGAAGCGGCGGTGATTCCTTCGAATTCTTCGTAAAAGTCTAGAAGATGAGGAAACTTGAGCTCCACTTCGTCCGAGAAGAAGTGCAGCAGAGTCCAGCGCTTGTCAAGACTCTTCGTTTCTGATAGCTAAGCAGTGAAATAAAATGCAATCGGGACAATGTAATTCCATCCCAGCGCTGATTCGCTATGTGCAACAAATAGTAAATATAGTTGACTTATCAGGAAATAGAGAATTGGCAAGAGTATTAGCCCTAACAGAACTATCTAGTGGCTTTGCAGTCCAAGGTGATCATAGAAATATAGTCTTTCTAAAGGCCAAGAGCAAATTTGGTTGACCAGTTTATTCAGTTGGCTAGCATAAATGGTCACAGGTAAATCAAAAGTCTTACTCTCGTCTCTGTAGATTTTTGTATGTGCATAAAGCAGACAGGGTGTTCTATATTGTAACTTAATCCCTTTGTGTCTCCAAGACACAAATATCTGTCATAATCTAGGATTTTGACTGATCTAATATAATGTAGAAGGAAGTATTGATTTAAGAAGGAAGCAGATTCAATAGTTTATGTGCGCCAAAGGTCGAACCAAAAGTAAGCGACAAAAGTTTGAGAAGTTAAGCTATACCGTCTATTTACATAAGAAAAGCCTATAGACAGCTCATTACGTAGGAGAATGAAAAACTTGATACGAACCTACCTTCCTCAAAGTTTGAATCCCAAAAATGCTTAAAGAGAATGACTATGTGGAAACTTAGTGCCTAAGTTACTAGCTAAATAAGCCACAGGGACTGGAACTGATTAAGGCAGCATGCGTGTGAGATCTAAGCATCTGCTAATTGATAACCAATAGTCTGAATGGCTAAGGTCAATCTCAGTTTTTATTTTTTGCTCAGGAGATGATCGGCCCATCAGCAATAAGCAAATGGACAGTAAAAAAGTAGGTATAATCAAGAGTATTCGAAAAGCTGTTCAGATAAAAGATAAGCCCTTACTAGGACATATTCTGGTGTGCGATACTGACCTGTTCGAGACTTTGGATTCGGAAGCCGTAAGACATGCCTCGTCGGGAGCTATTCATATAGTTGCCGAATGCGAGGACAATTTCAAGAAGGCTGCGAAACTTTTCACTTTTCCTCAGGCTAAGAGAAGCCAGACTGACAGCTGAGATTTTCTGTTGACAGGAAATTTAAAAAAGTAAATTATAAAAAAAATAATTAATTAATCTGAGACCCTATTACCTTGGTAAAACAATTTTAAGAAAAAAATGAATAAGAAAGAGATGGCCTATGCAAATTCAAT